GCAGAGATTCCCTGCTCATAAAGTTGATGAATTCTCTCAATCAGTGCCATCAAATGTACCTACATTCCCATTCTGGAATTTCCCCGGATTCCAAAATGTTCCAATTGTCCATGCAAGTGCTTTTGGACTCTCATTCCCAGAGAACCCGGAATTTGCAGTTCCTAATGTTCCAGGTTTCACACCTCCGAAAGAATCTGGATTCCCATTTGCATATGCTCCTGGAATCAACAGCATGAATATTCCTGAAGTATCAGCTCCACGCATTCCTGAATTCTTGGTTCCAAATGTCCCTAACTTCGAAACTCCAAATAGTCCTGAAATCATGACTCCAGCTGTTCCTAACTTCGCTGTTCCAAATGCCCCCGATTTTAATGGTCCAGCTGTTCCTAACTTCGCTGTTCCAAATGCCCCCGATTTTAATGGTCCAGCTGTTCCTAACTTCGCTGTTCCAAATGCCCTCGATTTTAATGGTCCAGCTGTTCCTAACTTCGCTGTTCCAAATGCCCCCGATTTTAATGGTCCAGCTGTTCCTAACTTCGCTGTTCCAAATGCCCCCGATTTTAATGGTCCAGCTGTTCCTAACTTCGCTGTTCCAAATGCCCCCGATTTTAATGGTCCAGCTGTTCCTAACTTCGCTGTTCCAAATGCCCTCGATTTTAATGGTCCAGCTGTTCCTAACTTCGCTGTTCCAAATGCCCCCGATTTTAATGGTCCAGCTGTTCCTAACTTCGCTGTTCCAAATGCCCCCGATTTTAATGGTCCAGCTGTTCCTAACTTCGCTGTTCCAAATGCCCTCGATTTTAATGGTCCAGCTGTTCCTAACTTCGCTGTTCCAAATGCCCCCGATTTTAATGGTCCAGCTGTTCCTAACTTCGCTGTTCCAAATGCCCCCGATTTTAATGGTCCAGCTGTTCCTAACTTCGCTGTTCCAAATGCCCCCGATTTTAATGGTCTAGCTATTCCTAACTTCGCTGTTCCAAATGCCCTCGATTTCAATGGTCCAGCTGTTCCTAACTTCGCTGTTCCAAATGCCCCCGATTTTAATGGTCCAGCTGTTCCTAACTTCGCTGTTCCAAATGCCCCCGATTTTAATGGTCCAGCTGTTCCTAACTTCGCTGTTCCAAATGCCCTCGATTTTAATGGTCCAGCTGTTCCTAACTTCGCTGTTCCAAATGCCCTCGATTTTAATGGTCCAGCTGTTCCTAACTTTGTCGGGGAAGAAATCACGCCATTGGAACAGCTGCCCCTTCTTGAGCTTGAGCTTCAAAAGACCCACAATGCCCCAAGGTCACCTCTGGTTACCCCATTCACCTTTAACTCTTTCGATAGCAACGAGGGAGTTCCCATTAACCCCTTCGTGAATAACAACCAGATGCCCCTAACTGCCATTAACCCATTTATGATCAACCTCCATTCACGAGATCCTTTCATGATCAATAACCAATCACCGGATCCTTTCATGACGAATCACCAATCAGCGAATTCTTTCATGGCCAATAACCAATCACCGAATCATTTCATGACCACTAACCAATCACCAGACCTTTTCATGGCCAATAACCAATCACCAGATCTTTTCATGACTAACAACCAATCACCGAATCCTTTCATAACCAACAACCAATCACCCCAAATCCTCGACACCTTCGCACCTCCAATCAAACCATTCGTATTCCAAAAAATGCAAGGTTCCTCACCCGTTTATGGAGGACCCCAGATCTTTAACAGCGTGCCGTTTCAACCCCAAGCTGCCAACGGATACGAAACGGATTATAGTGAACCTCAGCTAACGAATGGACCAGTTCACGGCAACGACATTGTGAATCCTCATGCTTCTGAAGCTTCTGAAGCCCCGGGTCTCCATCATGCCGTGGCGGGTCGGGAGCTCGACGCCTCAAACCAGGAAATATTTAACGAGGAAATAATGAAATTCCAAGGTTGGTTGAAACTGTTTGTTTTAGTTTCCTTGTCTTCTTTTTCGTCTTTATCCTGCTTCTTCCTTCTTAGCCCTTCATCTTCATATTCTTCTTCGTTGTCTTCATTGTTATTCTACTTTTTTTCGTTTTCTTTATTCTTCGTCTTATGATTGCCATTATCGTTATTATTATTTGTTGTTATTATCATTATCATATTATTGTTATTATCCTTTTTCTTATCATTATCATTATTGTTGTTGATGTTCTTCATCTTCTTCGTCGTAAAATGCAGTTACATATGTTAATTCATCAACATAAATTACCTTGATTTACTTGACTCGAATGCAATATACAATACCTGACTCGAATGCAATATACAATACTGAAAAAAAAAAAAAATTCACGATAATTTTTTTTTCTTTTCTTGCTTCCAGACTACAACCCAGTTCCAGTTACACCGCCATTTACACAAATGGAAGTGGTACAAGGCCCTCACGATCTCTTGGACTTTGATGGTTCTTATAATGCACTTGATCAGCCTGTCCCATTCTTTTATTAATACGAAGGTTTACAAAGAGGGAGGGGCTGTGTGTTCGTAAATACATCTCTACACAGTAAGAGTGTTTGCTTTTCTCTCTCTGTGGTGTAATCAAATCAAAGAGAGAAAGAGAGAAAAAAAATCGTGAATGCAGTGAGACATGATTTGTAATTACTGAGTTTTAGAGCGTTTGTTTTTCATTGATAATCTAGTCTTATCATTTTTTTCTGTCAGAGAATGGGTTTATATAATGCAATTACTAAAGCACAGTGTATAATCAATTAAAGATGTTATGAAGCTTAGTTATATCTTATATTTCCTTTTCCTTAATGATTATATTCCAAGGAGGTAATTGAGTTGAAATTTGTTGTTTTTTCTTTTTTTTATGGATTTGTCACTGATTGAACAAATCGCCTGACTTATTTTGTGAGCTGTGGGTCTTTGTGATTTATTTAGCTTTATAGTTTCTATTAGATTTTACTATTTTTCTTGTGATTTTGAATACGTATTCATTAAATATGATATAATATTACTATCATATCTATTAACCTATATTATTCTCTTCATTTATTCATTCTTTTCACATTCAGTATTGTTATTATCACTAATATCATTATCGGTGTTATTGTTTATTATCATTATCACTATTATCCTTATTATCATTATCATCACTATCATATCGCCACTATCACTATTACTATTAGTGTGATTACTATTATCATTATCATCACCGTCATCTCCATTTTTATCATTATTATCATCAACATCACCATTATCGGTATCATTATTACTTTTTTTTTCTTATTTTTAATTGACGAACCGAGAAAAAAAAAACAAAACAAAAAAAAAAAAGGACGAAGCCAATCGTAACCGACCGGTTTTCCTACAGGTGTCAGCGTTCGATCCCTTTCTTAAATTTCAAAACAAGAATAAAAACAAGAATTCACGGCCACTTATCTTTGGCTGTTGTTTATTTCGTATAAAGGAAAAAAAAATCTCTCTCCCTCTTGATTTTGTTTTTCTTTGTTATTCATGTTGATGTTGATGTGTTTGTAGTTTGGGTAAGGAGTTTGTGAATGCGCTTGGAGAAGGAAGAAGACTTAAGGGTAGATAAAAGTGGTAGATAAGTAGTAGATAAGGTAGACAGGGGATCCAAATAGCGGGGGGGGGGGGGGGGGGGGGGGGGGGGGGGGGGGGGGGGGGGGGGGGGGGGGGGGGGGGGGGGGGGGGGGGGGGGGGGGGGGGGGGGGGGGGGGGGGGGGGGGGGGGGGGGGGGGGGGGGGGGGGGGGGGGGGGGGGGGGGGGGGGGGGGGGGGGGGGGGGGGGGGGGGGGGGGGGGGGGGGGGGGGGGGGGGGGGGGGGGGGGGGGGGGGGGGGGGGGGGGGGGGGGGGGGGGGGGGGGGGGGGGGGGGGGGGGGGGGGGGGGGGGGGGGGGGGGGGGGGGGGGGGGGGGGGGGGGGGGGGGGGGGGGGGGGGGGGGGGGGGGGGGGGGGGGGGGGGGGGGGGGGGGGGGGGGGGGGGGGGGGGGGGGGGGGGGGGGGGGGGGGGGGGGGGGGGGGGGGGGGGGGGGGGGGGGGGGGGGGGGGGGGGGGGGGGGGGGGGGGGGGGGGGGGGGGGGGGGGGGGGGGGGGGGGGGGGGGGGGGGGGGGGGGGGGGGGGGGGGGGGGGGGGGGGGGGGGGGGGGGGGGGGGGGGGGGGGGGGGGGGGGGGGGGGGGGGGGGGGGGGGGGGGGGGGGGGGGGGGGGGGGGGGGGGGGGGGGGGGGGGGGGGGGGGGGGGGGGGGGGGGGGGGGGGGGGGGGGGGGGGGGGGGGGGGGGGGGGGGGGGGGGGGGGGGGGGGGGGGGGGGGGGGGGGGGGGGGGGGGGGGGGGGGGGGGGGGGGGGGGGGGGGGGGGGGGGGGGGGGGGGGGGGGGGGGGGGGGGGGGGGGGGGGGGGGGGGGGGGGGGGGGGGGGGGGGGGGGGGGGGGGGGGGGGGGGGGGGGGGGGGGGGGGGGGGGGGGGGGGGGGGGGGGGGGGGGGGGGGGGGGGGGGGGGGGGGGGGGGGGGGGGGGGGGGGGGGGGGGGGGGGGGGGGGGGGGGGGGGGGGGGGGGGGGGGGGGGGGGGGGGGGGGGGGGGGGGGGGGGGGGGGGGGGGGGGGGGGGGGGGGGGGGGGGGGGGGGGGGGGGGGGGGGGGGGGGGGGGGGGGGGGGGGGGGGGGGGGGGGGGGGGGGGGGGGGGGGGGGGGGGGGGGGGGGGGGGGGGGGGGGGGGGGGGGGGGGGGGGGGGGGGGGGGGGGGGGGGGGGGGGGGGGGGGGGGGGGGGGGGGGGGGGGGGGGGGGGGGGGGGGGGGGGGGGGGGGGGGGGGGGGGGGGGGGGGGGGGGGGGGGGGGGGGGGGGGGGGGGGGGGGGGGGGGGGGGGGGGGGGGGGGGGGGGGGGGGGGGGGGGGGGGGGGGGGGGGGGGGGGGGGGGGGGGGGGGGGGGGGGGGGGGGGGGGGGGGGGGGGGGGGGGGGGGGGGGGGGGGGGGGGGGGGGGGGGGGGGGGGGGGGGGGGGGGGGGGGGGGGGG